AACCCATGAGTTAGTCAAAAACTTGATTATCCAACCCATATCTTTTCGGTATCAACCCCGGGTATAAATGATGAATGGTCCCTTAAGCCAGTCGTTAGGCCAAAGACTCGTGTTAGGTTTCAGATTTAGAAGAGTTTTAAGGTGCCTCGATGCAGTTCTCTTAAAAATTGAAAACTTGCGATTTAGATACGATTTTTGGACATGTATTACTCGTTGAAAAATAAAAAGCATCTTACTTTTGTAAAATAATATCTTAAGAGTTGAATTTTTTCACAATACTGTAGTTACGCAACTGCCGTTGCTATGACAATAATGACGATTCGATATTTTGGTTTGTCTAGGTATTGCCGGGATTATTGAATGTTTATTATAAGGTGTATACAGCTATTTCAATTAAGGTTGTCCAAGAGCAAAGCGGAAAAGTCGAATACGAGCGCGAAAGGCTGCTGGGAATCGCTAACAAATTAATGAATTTTCAAAGCGATTCCCAGCAGCCTTTCGCGCTCGTATTCGAATTTTCCGCTTTGCCCATGGACAACCCTAATTGAAATAGCTGTATATCGCATCAGTGAAAAGACATGGTGGAAAAGACGGAGTGCGGAGTCGGGAGTACGGAGTCTGTCAAAAAAATGTTTGTTTTGCATAAAGATTCAATTTTAATGAGACTCCACGTTTTCCACTCATGGGGGCATTAAGTGGAAAACGCGGAGTCCGTAAAAGAGAACCGGTTTATTTTGCCGAAGATTCAATTTTAATGAACTCCGCGTTTTCCACTTTACGGGGGCATAAAGTGAAAAACGCGGAGTCTGTCAAAAAATGTTAATTTTGCCTAAAGATTCGATTTTAATGCATGAGGGCATATATAAACAATTTTTCAGTTTTCAGATTCCGTACTCAGACTCTGCACTCCGTCTTTTCCACCATGCCATGAAAAATCCCGCTTTTTCAGTCCACTCAAAATTAGAGTGACATGTTACACAAACTTTCCGGATACGGATCTACGCCATAGTCTATCAACATATGAATATCATATGATGGTCGGAAACTAAATAGAAGTGTTTGTTGTATGTTTTTGGCTGAGTTTATGTTAATTTGTGCACGGTCACGGTGATTGAGCTTATTGTATTTTTGTAACCGTCCAATCTAGGGATATTGCCGAGATGAAACGTGCAACCGCGATGAATAATATTACCTGGTTCCAAAGGCTCTGCCTCTAAACCAAGGTAGAATAATATTTAAGTTTAGACAAAGAACTTGTGCACGGTGACGTACAGTTCAACATGTAACAAAGACCTTTGATTTGTAACTATGCATTAACCCGATATCGGATTGTTGATGTCACAGCATGATTCAAGCGGACTGAAAGTATATTGAGCCATATGTTATTAGGCTCTTAGCTTCGATATGTGCACAGCAAACGTATTATATATTAAAACTGTCTGTGCCAGTGTAGTAATGCCAATAACATGAACAAGCTGTTCTTGGTAGGGACGCAACTACCTGAAAAATATAAGGAGAATTTCGACGTTTCGAGCGAAGGCTGGAGTTGCTGGAGTTACCTAACTCCTTCGTCTGGAGTTACCTAACTCCAGACGATAAGGGCCTTCGCTCGAAACGTCGAAATTCTCCTTATATTTTTCAGGTAGTTGCATATCCCTACCAAGAACAGCTTGTTCATGTTATATGTCAAAATGCTATCAGGTCTTGAATTTACCGAGAAGTTTGTTTCGGTTTTGAAGTTAATTGGCTGAACCGGTCGTCCACATAAGGTCATACGACTCATACCGACATAAGGATATTACTGATATTATCAGGCCTGTGATATTATAATTGAGTATTCGAAAGAAACAGGAGATATAGCCACTTCAAAGCAAACCTCAAGCTCAGGGCCAAAAATCACAATGCAGTTCAATTGATGTTTTGCAATGTATGCAAACAAACTATATGCTATAATATACTGATAATCGTAAGCTGATTAATTAAATATACTTGCATTTTACAATACCTCTGCGGGGTATATTATATACTGTATATCCCCTCATGTTTCACTGAATAATACCACATAACATATCTAATATCTTACCGTTAAACACCAATAACGATATGCCAAAGAAGGTTAACCATCGATGAAATAGCCACGACATTCTGTTGTTGATTTCGTAAAGTGAAACAGCGAAGGCGAAAGACGAAAACATCACGAGTATTTGTGATACTTCCACTTTTCAGTGCAGGCTAAACAAAATAAATGTTAATTAAACGGACTTTTTTCAATGTAGATTGCTCGTTAACCATGATTACATAGCACTTACCATATATCTTGTCAAGATCATGAAATTCCCTTGTCTTTTTTATTGATGATATATTAATCCCAATGCAGTTAAATGACAAGGTCACGAGTGGAGTTTTTTAAAACAATATACCTTACAAACTATACTGAATATAGTATTTCTTTGTTTCTGAGCACTTGAGTGGAACTAATGTTTCGAAACAAAAGCCGGAAAATGCTGCGCCAACGTTACCATACGGTTGAAGTGAAAAACGGCCTTTATGCTAAATTCCTATGGTATTACTCAATCTTTTATGATGCACTTCGTTCTTGGCCAGACGCGAACAAAAAAGCATTCCTGGAAACAGATGGATCGTGTTACATTGCGTGTCAGTGGCTTTCATGTGGTGAGAAAGTATAGGCAGCAGCTCGATCTCAATGCACGAATATTTTTACTAAGTCCTTAAATAATTTGTAACAGTATTAGAATTAATTGTCATGATCTTTTTGTACAGTTTTTTCTTGATCAATTAGCAGAAAAAGCTAAGCTTAATTGCTGCAGTATATACTTTATAATATGTTATTAAGAAAGATATAAATTTCCAATAAACATTTCTCCTTCATGTATTGGTTGTTGTATCTTGGGATTTACTGTTTTAGACAATAGTTGAACTTACAAATCTGACTTTATTAGGATCAGCTGAGGTTACAGGCTTAGCCTGAATTTCAGACGGTCACTCAAGTCAATAGAGAGTTTGAGCAGGACAACGAAGTACGAAGACGAAGGCATACTTGACAATTTTTGCCGTCTGCACATTATCTTGCGCATACTGAGTTGGACGTCACTGGTGGTTGCACAACGTGTCTTCCCATCTGTCGCTGTTTATGAATACTGACCATAATTCTTGCCCTGATCCAGAAAAAAACCCAGCGAGACATGAAACTATACCCCGCCTTTGTCCTTCTGCCTTCGTGCAGAACGAAGTTCACAACGAATTTTGGCAAAATATTCGTTGTGAACGAAGGCGGAAGAACGAAGACGGGATATGGATTCATGTCTCGCTGTTTTATCCTGATCAGGGTAAGGATTTGGGTCAACATTCACAAACAGCTAGACATGAATCTCTAATATGTCTTCACTCCTGACCCTAAACTCAGAATGCGCAAGGTAATGTGGAAGACAGGCAAAAATTGTCAACCACGTCGTCGTCGTCCAACTTCGCTGTCTTGCTCAAACTCTCTAATACTATCCATGAAACTACACAGTATTAAAATTTTATGTAGCCTAATGCTGCAAAATTATGGCTCAGTAAGGTAGCCGAAAACAGGCGTACTAACTTTATAGCCACAAACTGTGGCGATAACTGAGGTCTGCGGAAAACAGGCTTATGTTGTAGCCATAATGCAAACTGCGAAAAAAGCGAGATGGATACACAGAGTAGTTCAAAGGAAGCTATAAAAAGTAACTTAGAGGGACTGACAGCAATAAAAAATAAGTCTCTCCCATTTGGAAGAATTATTCAATATAGTTCAAAACCATTTCACTGATTTTCTATATTGTTCTTGGTATAAATGATATATACCCTTCATTTGAAACACTGACATTATGCATTCCGCCATCTTGGATCGACATGCGTTCCTGCCACTGGTTCCGGCTCGGAGCCAAATGCCGTTGAAAAAGTAGCCAAAACCTACCAAAAGAGGGCAAACGACTTTTGTTCAAAAGAAACAAAAAGAAGTCAAATGCGAACTTCTGCGAGCACAGTGTTATATGCTCAATCATGAGTGGTTAACGTTTATCAGCTTTTTAATTGGCTGGAATTCATGAATCCTGATTGGCGTCTAGAATTACAACCACGTTAGTTATTTGGCTTCGTCGGTATGCGTGTCGTCACAACCAGGGAACAATATACACTTAATGTCTGCTCCCGAGGAAAATAGTTAGTTTTGTTTTCCCGAGAATCTCAATGTTTCCCGAGACGAAGTCGAGGGAAACATTAACATTCGAGGGAAAACAAAACTAACTATATTTCCCGAGGGAACAGGCATTAAGTGTATATATAGCGACGAACAAAAATCAACTTCAACAACATTCATACAACAATTGTACTTCGTGACAAAAACTCTATAGTGTAAATGAGTTTAAAATTAAAAGAACCTACTTAAACGGTTTAATTTTTCAGCAGCATATCCTGTTGCCTGTTGTGTATTTTTCTTCTCTTTTATATTCTTTATTTGAACACAAACTTGGAAAATCGTAGTTTCTAATTATCTGAGTTGTGCCTCCATTTTGTTTATTTATGTACGTGGCCGGTCGGGGCGGGCAACAATTTTTCACTTGGTTGCCCGGCGGGAAACATTGCATTTATCTGAAGTCACGTGACCACAAATCAGCCAATCACGTTTGGTGTTCACGCTAGCTATATAACAATATTTTGTATAGTGAGTAATTGTCATGCCTTTTTAATGATAAATCCTATTTTACTATTGCCTATCAGTAAAATTAAAGCACAAGCTATAAACTTTCCACTGATAATATTTTAATATTTAAAATTTCTACCCTGGTTGTGACGTCATTTAATTAGATCTAATTATAAACCAGATGGCGGATGGCAAGATATTTCGGTTTCAAATATCTCAGAAACTAAGGTATTTTGGGAGGATTTGTAAAAATGATTTCTAAAATAATCTCAACATTATATTCATTCAAATTACGCAAATTGAAACTAAATCACAGAAAGAAGAAACATTTTAGCAAATACAACTGGAAAATATGTTCCTGACTTTATTAGATATTTTACTACGTTGTTTGTTGTATGTTTTAAAACTACTTATCGCTGTGAGTTATTTAAATTTGGTATTTGCATTCAATAAATTGTTTGCTAGTGAAATAATTATATCTGATAGTTTCTAAAACTATTAATGATTGTCCGCGTAATTAGACATTTCGAATTCGCTTTAAGCGTATTCAATGCCAACTTGTTATCGCCACATATTGGACAAATTTTGGTTCACTATTAATTCTTTAATCGAAGTTGGCATAGTCACTGAAACCATCCATGTACGCCATCATAGCCGCGTAACAGAACCGATATTGTTCCTGAAGGGGAAAAAATGTTATATTTTGCATGGCTTTTCATCCAAGTATTAACAGTGGTAAATAAAAATTTTGTCGATATATTGAACATTGTAAGTAAAATTGGCCAAAATGTCTTCAGTTAAGGAAGGCAATAAACTTAGCAGTGAAAAGTGATGTCAATCCCATATAATTATTCCCAAGGTTGACTATAGTTAAAAGTGATTGGCTGATCGTATTATATAACATGTCCAATTCTCTGAACAGACGTAGACGTTTTCACGTGAGCAGACAGGCAATTCTGTTTCTATCTCTAACTGTTCGTCTTTAGACGAAAACGATGGTATTATTTAAATGTACTTACAGCATTTTCCACAAATTGTGGTCGTGTTTCTCTGATGATCTTTATGGCTTGGAAGACATCCATTGCTTGTTCAATTTTCATTCGTTCAAGAAGGTTTGAAATTGCAATGTATGTTCCTGTACGTCCAGCTCCATCACTGAAAATAAAATACAAATTGAAAAGATAAGAGAAAATTATGGTTCACTTGGAGAAACTATGTAAGGACTTTCTTTCACAAAGACTCAAAGACTTCTTTATTATTATGCTCTGGTTATCCATCGAGCACTTTATATCATATCTCGGTTTTTATAACCCATCACAAATTATTCGACGATTTTAGGCTTCAATTTGCTTCCATAAGCTTTTGTCAATGGCCATTCACTTCAGTAATCCTATGTTGAAATTTGCAATATTTACATGCATCGTTTTATTTGTAATATTTACGTCAGTTTTAAGATAAAATAATCGGTTACGCTAACGAGAACATTTTGGTTCAATTTAGATAAAAATATGGAAAAGTAAACTGGATGTGTAATTATCCATTGTACAGTATAATTAATGTATGACATTTGTCTTAGTTTTGCTGTCAGCGGAGTAACCTTTAGTTTCTTCCACGCTAAAATGAATTTCATTGTATTAATAACTGGCACCTTCAACCCATTTACTTGACATACTACAAGCTAACATGGCGCCTAGCTGCTACTATCTTACCTGCATGCCACAATGATTGGACCTTGGCCATGATTCATTCTAGAATTCTCGACCAATGACGTTAGTGCAATGACGTCACTTCCATTTGCAGGTACACGATGGTCCGGCCATTTCGTATAGTGGAAAATATTCACAACTTGGCCGTCTGTCAAATCCTATATTTAAATCGGTTCATGTTATATATCCCTATGATAATTTCTTTCAATAAAAGTCTTAAACCACAGTAGTCTAACATATAGGCTAATAGGATGAGGAAACATACTGGATAAGACGATAAGATAAACTGTCTAGTCCGTATTCCATTTGATTCAGTTTCGGAGTCCAACTGCACTGTCAAGCGATCATATTGTGTTGGTTGTCCTCTGGTTGTCGGCCAGAATTTCGGGAACGACTAAAATATACAAAAAATATTACCATCTGCACATGTGGCGACAGAAGACGTCCAGGAACTGATTCGTGGATAAATAATAATTTGATGAGAGATATATAAAGAATAAACATAAACAATGTGTATCGTACACATTATAGTATATATACCGTTCTATCTTTGACGTTATTCAACAAGACAATGGTGGATGATTTCTGCGAATGAACCAGTCGCCAAAAGTCGTTGATTGTGTTTGGCAGAGGGCTTTGTGTGGCGATGAAGTAGTTCCTTCCAAGATAGCCCTGGAATGGAAAGGTACAATTTAGTCAAGGTATCCTAGGATGTCGGCGTTTGCTACAAAACATCCCAGGTTTTCTCCAAGTGCTCCGATTTTATTCCGTACTAACACTGGACCATTAGGAATGGCAATTTTTGGACCCTCAAGAAGAATAGAGTGGAAACGATAGAGCTATATCATTACAAAAATTAATTTCGTTGAATCTGTTATGCCATATTGGTTTATGCGAGGAAAAACTATTCACTGCTCCATATTCACTTTCCACTTTAGCCAAATAATTGAAAGAATCAGTGACAGGCCTACATACATTAACAAACACCGCGTTGATATAATCTGAATTTTCCACTCCATAGACATATTGAAGAGGGACACGATTGTTCTCGGCTAAATGGAATGAAAGAATTAAAGAAAGACTTCTTCGTAAAGTTCGTTTGGATCTGGAAAAGTTAAATACGTATATAGTACAAGATATATAATATCAAAATATACCTGGTAGGACGTCTTTATTGCGATTCTTGTGGTAATTTTCGTCGAGGGATCCAGCAATGCATTCATCTGGAGAAAGGTTTGTTGAAACCTCACCCAACCTCTAAAATAAAATAATTGGCCAAAAAAGTATTTACTATAAAAAAGAGGGCACCAGCCAAGGTGGCAAAAGATTGGCGACAGTGCCACAACGAGCAAATTGAATCACAGACTCAAACCTTAAACTTCTTTTGAAATCCAGTCATTCCACAGGCGTTAATTTCAGCAAGGATTTCAATCTCCTTCTCAAGTTTGATGGAATCAACTTCGTTCATACCACAAAGTATGGTTTCCAAGATAGCTTCGTGAACAAATATATATTGCTCCTAAAAATTATAAACAAATGAGACGTCAGCTTTTTTAAAACGACTATTCAAATAGCCCTCTGCAAACTAGAAAATGTTTCCTGGTTTCTCCATTCTTCTAAGAATATGTGACTGGAAGCAATGTCGAACGGGTTTTAGTTTTGTAGATGGAAATTTTGAGCGGAAGTGATTTAATTCAGTTCTATCAACATTCTGTTCTATTGAGTAAGGTGCCCCAAATCTTGGAAACAATGTTTGTTGTTTGTCCATCTTCTGGGAACAATATTTATGCAACAATCTTTACTATTTTGCTGTGGATTGTAAGAAGAATAGTGAAGAAGTAAATAATAATACCAAAGTTTGCACCATGTGCATTCGTCGCTCTCTCATTGCACACACTTGTCCAAAAACATCGATAGAATTGATGACACCTTTCTCGAATTTATCAAGGATCGTATCTATGGCAAGGAAGACACCAGTTCTACCAACACCAGCACTAGAAAATATAGAAACAAAGATAATTATATAACTGAACCAATGTTATAATTACATGCGATCGAAATCGTGTCTTATAAATAACATAATTTCTCATGCGATTTAAAAAACAAGGTCTTGTAAACATTTCAGTAGAAATTTTACTGGTCATTCGGGCTCATGTACATGTATTACAGTAGTCTTTCAAATACGCGTGCATTCATACAGTCATGTTCTAGCGAATTGATATGCATTTGAAACAATCTTATTACCGGTACAGAACACTTGCATTAAATGAAAACAGTACAATTTATTGGAAGTATTGGAATTCTCCTGACCTGCAGTGTACAACGATTGGTCCAGACTGTTCCATATGATGTGTTCTGTAATGTCTTCTGAAAGCCAGGAGTTGAGTGGGATATTTAGGAACACCGTGGTCTGGCCAAGAATGAAAGTAGTAATGTCGCACTTCGCGTTCTTCTCCGTCCTAAAATGAAGTTATACAGGGAGTAACAGTCATAACCTCGCACTGTTCAGGATTCTTTATTCTGGATAGCTTTATCAATTCTGAAGTGCTCTCCCAGGACAACCAGGGAGAGTTACAGTATCTCTAATTATTGTTCGAGGGGTTGAATCCGGTTGATAGAGGTGGAAACCTAAACTGAACTAAGTTTATTCAAAATTGTAATTAGACAACTGCCATTGTATCAACCCCTGTATGTATAAATCTGGCTACCTTTTTTAGTTGCAAGGTGTGTGTAACATGATAAGCAAACTCCTCAGTCTTCATCAAAGTTACTTCAATATCTCCGTACTTTTTACTTCCTTTGTCAGGCCAATATTTCTCACACTTAGGCTGAAAACAAACAGATACAATCATTTACATGAAGTTTGTAACCATGCAACATCGAACGACGATGAGAATGACCACGACGATGATGATGGCAATTTGATGATGACAATGAGGACACTGATGATCTGACGATAATGGTGATGACGATATTGTCACTTACCCTGTTAAGTTCAACGAGGGAGGTCACCATCACGATAGAATAGCTATGTTGTTCCCAAACCATTCGCCACATATCATTCACAGTCAGTTTAGTAGGACCTAACGTAATGGTAAAGAATGAAAGAAGATCAAACCAATGCCCTTATCAACACATCATATCTTATCTGATCTGATCTGATCTTATCCAATTTCTTTGCATCACATTATCCTATAGAGTGCTAGGTAAGCCCGTGAGTGCATGCAGTCTTGCACACGGAGTGTCGTAAACATTCGAAATTTTTATAGATCATAGCCAACCTTGAGTTGCAATGTATGAATTCGACTTTATTCCCTAAAAAAGAGATGCGCCTTAGAATTAATATTACAAGCACACTTTAAAGCCGGCTTCCAACCAGTACTGTATACACAATTAATACAGAAATGTAATATGGAAATAAGAACTTACGTCTATGTAGCTAGCGTTGATGTAATCCTTATTTTCATCTCCTGAGAGAACAACACGACAATGGTCATCTGTAATGTGAAAAATAGTAACAATTCTATTATAAATAATAATAATTCTATTTAGGATACCATACACAATTCCAGATACACAATTACACAGTATACAGTAGTTGAAAGCATGCAAAAGTATTTTTAATACTTTAACCTACATGTTGCGATATTTCCATATCTGTTCTTCTTCTTATTGAAAGGTCGCTTAGCCACTTCCCAAGACGTCCTCGTGTTTTTTGGCAAATCCTAAACAGAAAAAGATAATACTTATAAGTACAAAATTTTTGTTCACGGCAGTTAACGAATATAATATGATCTATGTTCTCTAGTTTATCAAGTAAATGAATGCAATCCCGGAATTTGTTCCAATCATGACCCAACCTTTCACCACTTGAATCCATCAGGGGTGATCTTAAAGGCTCACCGCAGCTGCTAATGAATATACTTGTTACTTACATCATATTCACGCTGAAATTCATAGTTACTGTCGACTTTCAGTTCGCTCACATAATGCTCAAATTCTTCCATCGGAACTGGCGGGTGTGCTTTCTCGTCTATGTCGCCTTAAAATTGCAATTTAAAAGCATTATTTTCCATCAATAAATTAATTTCTCCAATGGAAAAGGTAGAAGAATGTATGACTCCACATTACAGAGTTTTATGAAGTCTCTGATCTCCTTCGCCAGCCAGTTGTTGTCACCTCGGCTTGAACGTTTTCGTATTTGTTTGTATATTTAGCATTTATTTATTTATTTATTTATTGATTCTCTCTTTTATATGCCTGTGAGCGTAATATGAAAAATAGAAAATTTATTAAAGAAGAAAATTTAAATGTTGACTTTCTTATAAGATTATTAGGAAAATTGCAGATGGATTTAAAGCAAGAAGAAGGTTGATCACATTTGGATTAATATTTCATAAAAGTTTGTTCATTATATTGCTTCATGAAGACAAGGATATACTTGAAAACTTTATTTTTTATAAGCAAGACATCTTTTTGTCTTCCTTCACGAAAAAATCTTGAGGTCAAAACCCTGCCAACATTGAAATTCTAAACTTGACACACAAGATACTGTAAGGTCTTCGAGAATTGAACAACATACCAATTCCATTTGAATAAATCATATCATTATTTCCATTGGGTAGATCATCATCTGGCACAACGTTGTCCTCACCATCGCCGGAATCAATTCCTCTCATCTCGTAATAGTTTTCATTCAAAACAATTTCTTTGTCTTTACTTCGTTTGTTCGTTCTCCTTAGAAATGTAACAATGAAGGAACATAGATGGTTAATAAAACTTAACTAACTCAGTTTATAAAACCAAAATAACTTTATTTATACTGTATAGGTATAACACTTTTGAACTGTCCTCGTTAGAGGTCTAGTAAATGTTACCACAGAAAGATCTTGAGATCACAAATGGGAACGATTTGATAGGTAGACAAATCCATTCTTCCTATCCAATGTGATCTTGATACGGAATCTCATATTTTAATTGAAATTAGAACGAATCCTATTAAAACTATATTAGTGAAGACCAAGGTAGGCAGGCCACAGTTCATACTGAACATCAAAATCAAGTGAGCTTGTACCCTTTTGTTCCACATTGAGCTCGCGTTAGTAAATTTGCGTTATCATTGGACAGTCAAGCAGCCCCAGCCAAACTCAGTTAAGTAAATGAATACAATCCCCGAAAATTGTTATCTATCATGGACCAACGTTTTGAGGCTCGCCGTGATCTCAATTTCCGTCACGGTCAAAGACATTTGTTTAGAAGCGTAACGCAAATTATATATATGAATAGTTGTACTTTGTCCAGATGATGTTGCTTGCTACCTGCAAGAGTATCTTCCGCTTGTTAAATAATGATGTGCTCCCTAGATTAGACATATTCACATTACCTCCTGAAGAAGATGACAGCAAGAATGGACGCGACAATGATGACAGCGACACCGACTGATGCACCCACAGCAGCAAATGGACTTCCTTCACCATTGCCACCATCGTTACGCTTGTCTGGGTCACCATTATCAACATTGTCGGTACCACCACCCTTATTATCATCACCACCATTATCACCTGCTATAAAGGGTATTGGAAACGATTTTCAACAAATGCAAACTTTTGATCCATAACAGACAGAAGAGGAGACTTTTTATGTTAGATAAATCGTTAATTGTTGCTTGAATACATCCTGGTTGAAATTTGTGCACTGTAGCATAACCTATGTATAATTAACAATTATTCGCCGAAGGCGAGGCGATTATCGGTGAATAAAAACCGAGACGAAGTCGAGGTATTTATTCACGATAATCACCGAGCCTGAGGTGAATAATTGTTTTAGTATAATTTCATAGGTGATTATTTGGAAAAAAAATAAAAAATGCACATTTATTCGTCTTTTAATTGACAAAATGGCTTCGGCCGCCATTTTGAAAATCGCTTAGGTGATTATCGCGTAATAATCACCTCAACGGTAACCAATCAGCATGGAGAATTGTCAATAATCACCTATGTAATTATTCTAATTCCCATTACCTTTCAAAAATGTAAACGATTCACTCCAGTATGACCAAATACGATTCTAAAACAAAGAATGTATAGAAGAGTATGACTTTTTTTCCTTTTTCCAGCGAAATATTTCTCATTGGTAATGATGTTGATGCAGAACAGAATAATTTATTTCAACAGGGTGATTCCTTAAGCGTAAAAATACTGGTGTCAATAGAAGCCCTATCTACTAAACTGAAGAAACAATATATCATATAGGTATCCATTAGCTAACCTAATAAAGGTGCATACAACGTACGTTACATGTCTTTGTAGAGGACATTGGATATTGCCTCACTAGTCTCCCTAATCAGCATGAAATCATTCATGAGCTTTTATACGAGTTCATACTGTGGATAAGTGTAAGATCGTACAAACGTAGGCGAAACCTAAATGCCCATTTTCCACTCAGGAAAATTTTCCGCAGAAAGCAAATTTTGTAAAATGTGATTGGTGGACACAAATTTTTCAACATCAATTAAACAATGATACTTTTGGAAAATATTCTGTCCGTGGAAATTTTTCTTGAGGGGAAAGAGGCCTTAAGCGAAGGAGAAAAATGTTGTGCGACATCGTTTTCAGACACTGTTTTACTTACCCCAGACTCATCAGTATCCAACTGTGCAGTTCTATACGTTGCATTCGGTGCCAACGTATAAACCTCAACAGCTCTTTTCTTTCTTCGCCCGCTACTTCTTGACTCTCGCAGTGATATTTCCACGGTATCGCTTTGGAACTCAGTTATATTAAACTCACTAGCAATGAAGGCGACGTTATCTGTCTTATCGTCAGCCGGAGGTGATTTTTGCACGTTAAGCTCTTCTGGCGCGGGAAAGTTGCTTGACTTTGACAGGAGCAGTACAAGTGCGACAGTTCTAGAAAAATAAATGTTTAACATTTAGAAGATCTGAGACAGTGTAATGGTAGGTTTCAGTAAGCTTAACAAGAGCAGCAGATGGCGGACAACTTCGCAAAAGGTGATTACTATATTAAACTACTTTTCTCCGCGGGCGTCAATCCAAAGGTGGGGTGGGGGTGGACCCATCCTTCACTATTTGGGAGGAAGGGGCAGATATATATATATAATTATCCCCCCCCCCCCACCGTCCCTACTTTTGGCCATATTTTGCTTTCTGTACAATTCATGATACACGATTCATGGCATGCAGTGTCAATTGTGGTCGGAAAAAGTCGATCTTCGCAATGGGTATAACAGTCTCTGAAAGCGTCCTATCCCAAAGTAGCTCTGTTTCAATTGAACAATAAAGACCAGTAGTATAAATTTTGCTCTAAACAATTGTTGTGAAAATACTACAAAATTTAAGCAGACGCACGCTTTCAGCTGGCTCTGCCTACCACTTTCTGCGATTGTGCATGACCCTTGCTTTTCTCTGTTCTATTTACTTTCTTTCCTACACACACGTTTATCACAAATGAAAAGTTTTAACATAAGCTTCTCATTTCGACCACGGTTATTCGCGTCCACCATCTGCCGCACGATTGCATGCATGTACTTATACTCAGTGAAAGTGACCGTTTCTTCAACCATGGATAAACCATGGATAAACAGATTGCAATTTCATATATACTTACTTTATTTTTCGCACTCCCTGTGGCTTTCTCAGTTTTACTGTGTAACCGTCATCCGTTTTCTTCGCCGGTTCCAGCGGTGCTAGAAAGATAAAAATCCGAGTATTATCACTCGAGATACTCCGGTGTTCCTCCTTCAAAAACTAATCCTTTTGGCCTGTTGATATACGAGCTCGGCTAACCTGGAAACTCGCCTGAGGGAAATCCGCATGCCCTTCTCCCTACCGCATATATAATTTAATTTGTGTTCATATCACTGAGAATTTCTCCTTGCTGGGATAAGTCAGTAAACCCAACTGACCGGGGATGGGCATGTTTTTACGATTTTGACCTATGATATAATATTGAACGCCATAGTTGGAAAATTGCTATTGGTGGATTTGGCAAAAATACAATACACACGTAACGGTGAAGGACCAGATTTATGCATGAAACGTTGACTAACATCGATGATGAGTTATATTGTTATTCTCATGAGTTTCACAGCCATCTTTCCTTAGGCTATGGGTGAATTGACCTTGTAATTTTGGTTATCATGTACCTGAATGAGAGAACCATGATTCAGATGTTACATCACTTCTTTCAGCCTCTGTCACAACTTGTATTTCAAACGTATACTGTTTATCGAACTCCACATCGATAACAATAGATGTCATTTCTTTCGATACATTCAATGTTTCACTGGGCCCATTTGAAACGCGGTAAATTGCATGATACCGCATCACGACGGTTTGTTGGTCGGGCAGTGGTGGCTGGAACCAGGAGATGGTGTACGTTTTAAGACCAGTAGATATGATTTTTAAGATGACCGGAGCTACAACAACAGGAAGATAGGGAAACTCAAATTCAAAGAAAAGTAATATAAAAAAAACTGGCAGCATTTATGGACTTAGGTGGTTTAGATATTAAACTTGACTTTCATTTAAATACCCATAATACAATCTTGATTCAGAATTTTAAAAGTAAAATAATAAAACTTAGCAATAATAAAAAGTTGCCTTCTATCCTCACTTTTGTTGTCCCATGATTCATATTTTTGTGGCGGTGGAACGCGGTGTACTTGCACCGTAATGAATTGTACGTAACTGTTGTACAATGTACTGTATGAATTGTACTATTGTATACCATATACCATGTACGATGTACGATGTACCATGTACCATGTACCATACTTTACTGGTCCAAAATTACCTGGAGGTTTTGCCAACGTCTTAACATCGTTGCTCCATTCTGTCGAGTAGTACGAGTCCTAGAAGAAAATAGATATTTTAACTTAATAGCCAAATAGGGAACTTTATTGTGTCCTCCTTATAGAGAATGATTTTCCATCTATCAAAATTACTATACCCAAATTGACAAGCTTTACCTGGCTTTCAAAAAATCTTAGGAACACGATATAACTTGAATTCTGTTTGAGAGGTTGGTTGAGGTATGTTACTTTTTCAGAATGATATTCCTTTCCATCGCCGATCACGAATGTCAAAGGTAGATCATTGACTTTCAAATAAGCTGTAGCATACGGATCATGTGTGTTAGTCTGGTAAGGTTTCAGATCGGTTGTTCTAATATATTTGCTTAGTGTTGGATTTTTTGAGGCACTTTGAACGATGACCATAACTTCCCTAAATAAGGAAAAGAGGTTATGTTAGTATTAGAGAGGTTCAGATTTGACTTTCACTGCCGCTGCCTCCCATTGGCTTAGAACACATCTGATTGGTTAATTGGATATATCAAACGCACCTGATTGGTTAATAGTCTCTTAACAAAAAATGTATAACAAAAAATAATAAAATCTTATAAGTGATGGATTTACGATCATCATACGATCTTACTTGATATAGTTGGCTGGTTTAGGTATATCAATATTTAGACTTGAAGAGGACATCGTGATTGGATGCACAGCCTCTATAAAACATAAATAATATACATTATATTAAATAAAATAATGAAGCCTTTGTTTACCCCAAAATAATTTTCTGGGTAAACCAGTTGTCAAACTGTTTCTCAGTTGCTTTAATTTTTCTTCTTAGGTTTTCTTTCTTGTTTGTTTTAGTTTTTTTTGTTTGTTTTACATTTACTTTCTTTGTTTTTGTTTTCATTCTTTATTTTATTTTTTTTTTTTTTTTTTTTTTTTTTT